AGGCATATTCTCCCTCCCTCCCTCCCTTCCCCCTCTGTGAGTGTTTCATTCTGGGTTCTAGATTAACTTCAGAATAAATTCCGCCAATTCACTTCTATTCACCACCATCAATGACATATCAGAGTAACCCTACTGTGATCCCAGCCACTTTCTCAAGACCATTTGCTGTGCAGTACTTATTGATTCATATTCCAGCCACCATTTCCCCACAGAACTGGTTGAAAAACAAACAGCAAAGAAGATGGGCATATTTAGCTTTTGGAAGTGTGCTCGTGGAAGCGTCTACACAATCAGCTATTTTTGTTCCACAGTACAGTTCAGTTAATTTACAGCAAGCATCCCCAACCTTCGGCCCTCCAGATGTTTTGGACTACAATTCCCATCATCCCTGACCACTGGTCCTGTTAGCTAGGGATCATGGGAGTTGTAGGCCAAAACATCTGGAGGGCCGCAGGTTGGGGATGCCTGATCTACAGTATTCTCATAATGTCCAGATATTCTTTGGGAGATGGGAGTGGTGTAGACAATTAAGGAGGAAGAAACAACCCCAAATATAACATTTTATTTTCTAGTTGTCTCCAATCATGTCATTTTTGGATGGTTACCCAAAGAGGCCCTAAACCGCACAGCATGAGACTGTCTTTAAAAAGAAGACCACAGGGTTTGCTTACATTACCAAGTATCATTTGATAACAACTCCTGAATGAAGTTCTACCCAAGTTATTCATAGAATTATGGAGTTGGAAGGGACCCAGTTACGGAATTTGTCTCCCATTTTTCAGCCTAGAATGCCCCCACACTAAAATGCCTTTACAATTTAAGAAAGCCTGGAACTATAGAGTCTAAATAGGAATGCAGGGATCTGTATGGAAGTGTCTTGCAGTCTCTGCCACCTAATGATGGGGAGAGCAATCCTCTGTAGGATGGGGAAGTAGGAATGATGGGCAGATCATCTGTCACTTCCAAACCCTTGCCAGCTCACGCTGGCCAGGATTGCAGGTAGAGCACTGCTTTCCACCTAGTGGATCGTTGCCTTTTAATTTCCTTCCCCCACAACTGAAACCAAGAGGGGGGAAAATTAACTGTGACAGCTCCAGACTGGGAAAGGTAGCAGGCCCAACTTTGGGGGCTGTCACAGATGGACGGCCATCTGTCACGTATGATTGAGATTCCTGCATTGCAGGGGTAGGTTTAGATCATGGGTAGGCAAACTAAGGCCCGGGGGCCAGATCCAGCCCAATCACCTTCTAAATCCAGCTGTGGACGGTCCGGGAATCAGCGTGTTTTTACGTGAGTAGAATGTATCCTTTTATTTAAAGTGCATCTCTGGGTTATTTGTGGGGCATAGGAATTTGTTCATTTCCCCCCCCAAAAAATATAGTCCACCCCCCACAAGGTCTGAGGGATAGTGGACCAACCCCCTGCTGAAAAAGTTTGCAGACCCCTGGACTAGATGGTCCTTGTGGTCCCTTACAACTCCACAATTCTGTGGTTCTATTGTTCAGCTGCCAAGGTCCACAGTTGTGCCGCAATCACAGAAATTTAGGTGGAACTGCACATCATACATTGTTTCTGTCCTTCCCAATCCAGCTTCAGCATGTTTTCAGAACCATTTCAATTATGTTTCCATTCTAATGTCTGTTGAAGCAGTTCAACAATGGGGGGGGATAAATCTCACTCTGTGGTTCTGCCAGAGTAGACAACTCAAAGCTATTATTCACTCACTGATGAAAAATTGTTTAAGTTTAATGCTGTCATGAAAGCATGACAGTAATTGATCATTTGTCCTCGCCCACATTCGTAATGCATTGTACTGTTCCTCACTGTAACATAGTTTCTACATATGATTGGCAGAGCCTCCAACCAGCTTCACTTTTCTTCTAACAGGTTCACACAAAATAGTTCACATATAAATCTTAATTCTGAAATATGGTCATGGGAATGGGCTACAAGAAGAGGAGATGAAACATCTGGGTTGGAGTGAAGAGCACTGCCCATACCCCACATTCCCAGAGAGAATATAATGGACAGATAAAACAGATAAAAAAGGTAAAGGTACCCCTGCCCGTACCCCTTGCCAGACTCTAGGGTTGTGCGCTCATCTCACTCTATAGGCCGGGAGCCAGCGCTGGTCCACAGACACTTCCGGGTCACGTGGCCAGCGTGACAAGCTGCATCTGGCGAGCCAGCGCAGCACACGGAAACGCCGTTACCTTCCGCTGGTAAGCGGTCCCTATTTATCTACTTGCACCCGAAGGTGCTTTCGAACTGCTAGGTTGGCAGGCGCTGGGACCGAGCAACGGGAGCGCACCGCCGCGGGGATTCGAACCACCAACCTTTCGATCGGCAAGTCCTAGGCACTGAGGCTTTAACCCACAAGCCCACCAAATACAAGATGATTTCCATCTCTCTATCTCCCTTTGGAGACAATTGCTAGCCATCAGCTTAACAGAACATTCGTAGCTTTCTCACAGATACATATCGTACATTTAAAAGCAGTGTTAGAAGCCAGGCAACAAATGGCACCTAAACCTGGGTTACGGTCGCACAACAGAATGTCTATTCACCAGGGGGTTGGACTGGGATGACCCTGGGGTTCCCGTCCAACACTACGATTCTACAATCTCAACTACATTGCTTGACCATAGCTTGCTCCAACATCAATTCACATGTCCCAGTATGGAAGAAGGAGAAACACACACAGTGGAAATGGAAATGGTATTAACTATGGACTAACTGTGGTTGCCAACCTGGTGCCCAGAAATCTCTACTGAGTCATGATAGGAATGTTTTGCTTCTTGCACAGGTCCTAACACCTGGGGCATTTTGAACACTGATTTAAAGCACTTAACTTTCCCCAAAGAATCCTGAGAGATGTGATTTCCCCATTCATAGAGCTATTATTTCCCAGTACCTTCAACAAACTGCAGTTCCTAAAATTGTTTGGGGAAAGTCATGGCTATAAATGTGTGTTGCTTGTGATGTAAATATACTGTGTGAATCTTTCCATAAATCAGCAGCATCAATCCACAGGAAAAATAAAAGGAAAAAATCCAGAGCATTTTAAAAAAGAAAGAAAGAAAACAGCCCCCAACACTTTGCGCTTTCAGCTCCTTTTTAAATGCCATTTTGCTTGTACAACTTTTTCTGTCTGACAGAACGTAAGTGGGGGAGCAGGAGCTGCTCTCTCAAGAAAGAGCTGCAAAAGGAAAATGCCACTGAAAAAGCGCTGGTGTACACAAAAGGCACAATATCATACGAGGTTTGAAGCAAGATAGAAATCTCAGAAATAACTGAATCAAGCAGAACAAGACATGGATCAGGCCACTTCATAAAAATACAGCACATCTTCTACAGAGCCTCTGGTTATTTTCCAGTTGTTTCTGCTTTAACATTTCATATTCTTGACATTTGTTTCAATGAACACCTTACCTTCAACAGTTCAATCAGAAAATGCTAAAAAGCAGTCCCAGTGGTGGCTTTCTGTACTACAAAAATCCCAAGAGTGAAATAACACACACAAAGATCCAACAATATGTTTTGCAGCCAATTCTGGAATTAGCAGTAAACTGGATGAGGAACAACAAACTAAAGCAGAGTCCAGACAAGACAGAGATACTGCTAGTGGGCCAGATTGCACCCTGCCTACATAATCTAGCTTTTATTTTGAGGGGAGCTATTTGATCCAGCCATATTGTTGGGTGCTCAAATTACACCTGGGACACAACGCATTTTCCACCAGCTATGGCTGGTCCTGGACAGAGCTAGCCAGGTGGCAGCTAGCCATGCTCTGATAACTTCCTATCTGCACTACTATAATACAAGATACATGGGGCTGCCCTTGAAACTTCAATTGGTGCAGTGTGTGTGTGTGTGTGTGTGTGTGTGTGTGTACTATTCCTCACCAATCTTAAAGCAACTGCATTGGCTTCCATTCTGTAACCTAAATGACTAGAAGACCCAGTTATCTGCACAAACCTGTCCATGTATTAAGATCTTCCTCCAAGCTCCATGTCCGGGTTTCCCTCCCTTCCTTCACAGGTAGATGGTATCAGTGATGTTCTCCCTAAGGAAGCTCACCTTGTGCCAACTCTGATGTCTTTCTGGCGCCTGATGGAGACTTTTTTATTTGCTTGAGTTTTTAAAAAGCATTTTTTAAAAAAACTCTTATCTTTTGTTCCCCTTCCCATTTTAGTAAAAAAGCTGCCGTTCTTCCAATTTGTCTTTAATTTTATCATGTTTCACTCTCTTTTTAGAGACTGAAAAGCAGTCTGCGAAAGGTTCTATAGCTAAATAAATATCCTTTCTACCAGCTGCCTCGACTAGAGAAATTGGTGATCAGCAGCCACAGCGGGTCATCAGCAAAAGTCTGTGGCTGCAAAGCAATCGCGGCGGCGATACCAGAGCGGGGAGGGAAGCAGAGAGAAAGAAAGAACCCCCTCCCCTCCTCCATTTACACGTTCCCAGCTGAGTATTGATTCTCCCAGTCACAGCTGCACTCCCGCTTCCAGGCAAACCGGACTCTTCATCTCACAGTCGTGGGTTCGAGCCCCGCGTTGGCAAAAGGAGTCCTGCATTGCAGGGGATGGACTAGATGACGCTTGTGGTCCCTCCTAATTCTACGACTCTAGTACGGTTCCGATTCCAGACGGCATCTCTACCCCTACCGCGTCTTTCTACGGAAATACGGAACCACTGATCAATTCCACACGGTCCCTTTACAATAAGGGGACGGAGCGATTCAACGCTTGGCGGCGCGCGCAGCGGTGGAATCGATCCGCCAACAGGGCTTGCTTCGGAGTAAAAACGTGGTTACGGTGCGGCTAAAGAGGAAGGAGAGCAGAGGGTCCCCTCCGAATTAAATAGTCTTCTGTGCCCACCTGCAGCTATCCCATCAAAACATACACTCCCTTGAGTTTGCTACGAGAGGAAGCCGCGGGAGAAACGCCCGAAGCTCGCCGTGTCCCGTGTCCCGCCCTCCACTTCATAAATCCCCTTACCTGTCCGGGGCTCCTTCCTCCGCTCCAGACGAGCGGGCAAGCCGCTTTCATTCATAAGAAGAAGCGCGCCGCAGTGAAGCAAAGGCAGGAAAGCTCCTCCCCCTCAGCCAGCCTCGTGAATGAATGCGCTCAAGCTCCTCCCACGTCGGGAAAAAAAGAAGGCTCTGGTCACGTGGCATCGAATTCCGAAAAGGACAGGGGCCATTGGAGAAGCAGCAGAGCGGGTGGTAGCCTATTGGATTTTACCTCTGCAAACTGTGGGTGGCGATTATTTTAATCAAACCTGCCTCTAGAAAGCTAGCGCACCAAGGAGTTAAGGTTTAATAAACATTTAATAAACATTTGTTCTTGTTTATTTTATACATTTGTTTATGCAGACCACTTTTCGCCTGCCCTTCACCTCGAAGGATCCAGAGTCCGTACAAACTGAAATTAATGCATGCAATCGCATAAATAAAAATAGCATCTGCATTCTATCAGCTGCCCTGGCTTCCAGTGTATTTTCAGGCTGAATTCAAAGTGCTGGTGTTAATTTTCAAAGCCCTAATCAGGCCTGAGCTATTAGATGAGCCACTTGCACTCATACTAGGATGCCCACAGCTGGGATCTCAGTCTGAGAGCTTTACAGTGTGTCCAACTCCTAGACCTTTGAGAGACAGGACCTTTTCAGTGGTAGCTCCATGCCTTTGGAACTCCTTCCTTGTAGAGCTGCATGTGGTTGCACTTCTGGGTTTCCAGAGAGATGTTTCAATTGGCCTTTGAGCAAATCTTGTCTCACGCACTGCCTGGAGGCTGAAATATGTGCTTCTGAAACAATTGTTTTCTCGATGCCAATGTTTATTAAAAAGCATAGGTCAACTTGCAATGCATCTGATGAAGTAGATCCCAGTCCCCAAAACCTTATGCTATAATAAATGTGTCACCTTTTAAGATCCCACAAGATTCCATAGCAACCAGTTGCAAGGGGTCTTGATGTACCTGTTGTGCGCTGATTAATGTGAATGGGTCTGTCTCCATGGTTTTACCTGGAAGCAAGAATTTGAGAAAAGAAGCTGAGCCCCTTTAATGATTGTTGGTGCTCCCTGAATGCTCAATTCACATTTAGGTTGGAGTGTCCTGGGCCTGTGCTCTGCAGTGTGTGCTGTGTGCAAAAGAGGCAGATTAAAGATCATTGGATAAAAGTTCAGTTATCCTTTGGGATCAACTAAACCATGATGTACTTATTTCTTTTCGAAACTCGATGCCAAAGTTCCCTTTCAATTCCCAGCAGCAGTTTTTGGAGGGCCCTTAAGTACAGTGGGGCTATTGGGTTTCCTCGCTACCATTACCTGATTGCTTGCTAGGAAGGGAGGCTACTGGTGGGTGAGTGATCTAGCTGAAAGTGTCTGCCATCCATTCCCTCCTCTTGGCCAGAGGAAAAAGGCAGGCAAGCAAGCTGTTGGCAAGGAGGAGGAGGAGGAGAAGGAACAATGGAGAAAAAGGAAGCCATCAAACCGTAGATCAGTCAACCTCAGCAGAATACAAAACATTCCAAATGGACATTCTAAAACTAACGTGTGGCAGCAAAAGTTATGAGGTTGTTGTTTTTCATATTATTAAAACTACTCGCATTGCTAAAGATACCAAACTAAAAAAGAATACAGAAAAAGTTTTAAGACATTACGAAAGTGTTCTAAAGAGATGATAAAAGGTATATTGAAAAATACACAAGCATACGCTTATGCACACATTAAACAAACACAAATTATGTTCTATTAAAGAAAGATTCATAGATAGGCCCATCAATGAGGGTTTGGGTTTGGATTTATTTGTTAGCAGCCATAAGGTTCTCCACAGAGCTCCATCCAGAATGTAGCTGCTCAAAATCCAACTAGTCATTGTCGTCGTCGTTTTTCTAAATGTAAGTGTATAATGAATATATAATAATAATTACAAAGCAATACATTTCTTAGCTGGCAAGTAGTATTACAACACAAGACTCAAACTGCAAGAAAACAGGCTATGGGGGCATAGCTGTCAACTTTTCCCTTTTCTTGTGAGGAATCCTATTTGGAATAAGGGAATTTCCCTTAAAAAAAAGGGAAATGTTGACAGCTATGTATGGGGATCTCTTCCGCCCATTTCCCCCCAAATCTAAGCTTTATACCAAGCCACATGAAGTGATTAGACATGGCTTGCCGAGATTTCAAAGCCTTTCTATGTATGTGGATAGGCCCTCTTTGTGAGGAGAACAAAAGCTTTGGAAGAGCTATCTTGTTTAACACAATTACCCTGTGTAATCACGTAAGACTTAATTTCTCCATTGTTGGAACTCTCTTTTGTCAATTACCGTCAGATCACTAGACCAGCAGTATTAAAGTGAGATTGACACTCCAAAGCTCCCAAGTGTCTCGGATCCAGTTATAAGAAAAACCATTAGAAATAACCTAAAATGGAACACGTCTAGCTATCATTTCTCATTTGCTGGAATCAATCCTCAGCCAGACGTCAAACCAATTTGTTCTCTTTCTTTTTTGTCTCTCTGGAACCAAAAACTCAGAAACAAATCATACAAGATAACATCATCAGAAAAAAGTCCCTGTTTGTGCTGGATGTTACCTGTGTTAAAGAACACTTAATGGGTTATTATTACATGCTGCTTCAGTGAAGCGTTCGGTCAAAAGTGCAAAATGGAGTGGGTGGATGTAGACAGCCCTGAGGGGGATCTTTGCCACCAGGCCCTATACAGTCTTGGTGTTGGCTGGTGAGAAAGTGCTGGCTGCTTAAGTGACTATGTCCTGCCTGAAGTGCTTCCCTGGCTCTTTTGGATTATGTAGCACCTGCTTCTGACACCCGAACCTAGCTACTTGGAGCCCATTGGTTGCTGAGGCCTAAAGATGTACAAAGGCAGAAAACCCAGCTTCATGGAAGCTGTGTGTACATTTTGGATTAGTGCATTGTTCACTATGGGATTTCTTGGAAGACTTCACGTGTGTTTCAGCTAGTATAAAATGCTGCTGCTAGACTGGGCTCGACATTTTAATTCAAATTCTTGTCAGTTTTGAAGTAAGTCCATTGGCAACCAGTCCACTTCTAAACACAGTTTGAAGTGCTGTCCCCACCACCTCCCAGCCCTGAGTAGGTCAAGACCAAATACCTTAAAGCGCCATTGACTCCGCTTCAGCTTCTTGGATTGCCTGTGGACAGCCTTCAGCAGCTCTGTTGTTGAGATGAGAAAAGCCAAGGCAGAGATTTCTTAGTAGTGGGACCATGTTTCCAGAATGCACTCCATAGAGATATTTGCTTTGATGTTGACTTCATATTTTCAGCACTCAGTAAAGATATTTGCATTTTTCCAGCGATGGGATGGAGAACCTGTGGCCCTTGAGATATTGCTAAACTACAGCTCCCATAGTCCTTTAGCATAACAGGCCATTCTGGCTAGGGCTGACTTGAGTTGCAGTTCAACATTTGGAGAGACACATGTTTCTTCTCTCCGGCTCTGGGTCTTTTCCTTTTAATGTCTGATGTATTGTGTGTTCTTTATATTCTACTGGAAGCCACCCAGTGTGTCTGGAATGACCCAGTCAGATGAGCGGGGTACTAGAAATTTATTTATTTATTTTCCTGCTGTTTGTTCCTAGTCTTACACAATTCTAAATCTACCTGTTATCTTCTGCTGTTTTTAATATTTTATTATGGATTGACTGTTTTTAGACTATTACTTTCAGTTGTTAGATGCTCGGATAACCCTTTGTGACTGAAGAAGGGAAATAAAAACAGGGTAGGGATGTAGAATACATTTTGCATATAGAACACCCCCCAACTTCGAACCCTGGCATCTCCAGGTAGGACAGGCGTGAACTCCAACCTGGAACCCTGATAGCAATTACAAGCCACTTGAAAAACAGGAATGGGTTGCCGGAAGCTACAGGAATAGCCTCCTGGCAGCTGCCTCAGTGCTGCTTGAGGTGAGAGTGAAGGGAGTGGGAAAGATGATGGCAAGGTCTGAACTCTTTTACCTCACTGGTAAAGAAACTCTGGCATTATCACCAGTGGGCCCACCCAGTCCTGACCTCCCCACCCCTCATCCTCCCAGTAATGCTGCTGCTAGGATCCTGTTAAATATATGCATTAAATAAAGTAAGGTATTGGAGGCTGCCTCTCTGGATTTCTGTTCAGGTACAGCACGTTAAAGCTTGCTAGACACATTCATCCTCCCAAGTGATTTTGAGGTAGCCACCCCCATCCCCACATGAATGACAATAGTTCAATGCTGATTCTTCTGAAAAGCCAGTCAGCGCCTCCCTATGCACCTAGAATTTTATTATCAGTGAAGCAAATAAATTCTACTCCGGCTCTCTGAAGTCTTTGTCGATGCCTAGGCATCTGCGCCATTTCCCACTGTGCAGGAATTATTCACGAGCAGAACTCAGCTGCTTACGCAAGCAGAAAAGTTCCTGAATATTAAAACACACCAGTAACCATTTCAAAAGGGAAATTGTCTTAGTCCATTAAAACCAAATCCATAAACTGCTACATTTTCCCAAAAAGAGCCCAACAACTCTTTGCACCAGACACAATCCAATTTAATTCTACACAACTCCTTCTCCACTCCATCACAAGACTCTTATCACCTGCTGCAAAAGGGCTTTTTTTCATGATCCCTCACCTGTTTGTTTTGCGTAATATCCAGTATGATCACGAGTTCTGATTTTCTTAAAAGCTTGGACATTGCATTCTGATAATTTATTTGTTTTTGTTTAGTCGTTTAGTCGTGTCCGCCTCTTCGTGACCCCATGGACCAGAGCACGCCAGGCACTTCTGTCTCCCACTGCCTCCCGCAGTTTGGTCAGACTCATGTTTGTAGCTTCGAAGACACTATCCAACCATCTCGTCCTCAATGCTTTATTAGTTGATTCTAATAAAGGCAGAACGCTGCTGTTCCCAGCTGAAAGAGGAACACTTATTGTAGAGGGTAACTGTATATGAGTGGAAAACAACAATGGCCTTTCCTTCATACATGCTTTAAGGTTTTTTACATTTGTAGATAAGAGACACATTTGGAAACCAAGTAGATTATGCTCTAAGGCTGAACTCTCTTGGTAAAAAGGACATGCGCTCCCAGCCACTAATAAACAAATCAGTGCACTGAACACAGAGGGGCTTTCTTACTTGTAGGATTGGGCTTCGCTTTAGCTAGCTAAGCATTAAAAGACAGCAGAAAATGATATTATGCCCTAACCTAGCTCTACATGTTCTTCCATTTTTTAATTATTTTGCAAGCATTCATCCTCAGCCTTTTAAAGCATAAAGAAAAAAAATCATAGGGGGGAGAGAATGAAGACCGACTCCAGTGAACTGCGGAGGAAGGTTTACAGCTTGTGTACATCATCACAAATTACAAATGCCATTTCGCTAACCTTCCCACAGCATTTATTATGCTGTTGAGATCACTTGCTTCCAGACTGCAACAGAAATAGGAGCTGCCTTTGTTCAGGTTTTATTAAAGCTAGCACAGCCCTCCAAAATTGCATGTGGTTTGGCATGGAAGAAACTCAATATGGAGGTCGGATGGCCGAAGTATTGGGAGATTTTGGAACAGGAGGGAGATAAACTGAAATTACAAAGTCACGAGAAATTGAAACCTAAAGTACAAAACTGGTTTCAATATCACCAACTAATGGAGATCTTTAAACAGGACAGGAAAATTGGCTTTCAGGTGGAAAAATCAAAATTAGAGACTGAATTGCTAGAACCCAACACTAAGAACTTGTCAAGAATGTATAACTTGTTGCTGAAATGGAATACACAAGATGAAACAGTTAAATCAGCTATGATTAAGTGGGCACAGGACATTGGTCACAACATTATGTTTGCTGACTGGGAGTGGTTGTGGAACACCGGTATTAAATTCACGGCATGTAATGCCTTAAAAGAAAACATTATGAAAATGACTTACAGGTGGTACATGACCCCAGTCAAGCTAGCAAAAATATACCATTTGCCTGATAACAAGTGTTGGAAATGTAAAGAGACCGAAGGTACCTTTTACCACCTTTGGTGGACATGCCCGAAGATCAAGGCTTTCTGGGAAATGATATATAATGAAATGAAAAAGGTGCTTAAATGAAGACTAAGATGACAAAAGTTGGAAAGGAATATTTAGAAGTTGCTAAAAAATCGTGGACATTGGGATGCAGGAAGGGGGGGTATGGGGGAGTCCTGGAAAAGAGGTTTATGAAAAAATGTTATGAAATTATACGTGTTTGTATGTCTTTTTGGTTGTTTGTTTGTCTTTAAAAATTTGTAAAACCAATAAAAATTTTATAAAAAAAAAACAAAATTGCATGTGGTTTGGTCCCTACAATTAATAATCATTTGCTTGAAGCATGTTGCCCTGGGCATTAGAGCTTGGGGGTGGGGAGAGGACCTGTTCTGTCCTGGATGCCAAAACCAAGCATATTTCTTCTTACAGGAGCAGAGTAGGATCTGTGCAGGTTGCTTAACTTAGAGCTGGCATTCGGAGGGAGCTCAGATGGTCCACTAGGACATTTGTAGAGCTGCACTGGGGAGTGGGCTGATTTCTCCCAGTCTTCATTACTCCACCCTCCCATGGCTTCTCAGGGACTCATCAACTTTCCCCATGTCTTGGCACATGGGCTTTTCTGAGAGAGCATCATTTGTGGTTGCTTTTTAAAGGACGTTGTAGCACTAGTGCGCAGAGTAAGGCTGTGTCGACATTACCATTTGCTCCCACCACTGATGTTCAAAGCTGTGTACACATGACGTCAACCACAACCCACAGGGATCCTGGAGTTCCTTGAGAAATATTCCTTTCCCTCAAACCGGCTTCCATCTAATTTGAAAACTCAAGCCAGAGTTATGCTGAGGTGCCTGAGCAGATGACCGTTTCCGTGAACAGGAGTTTGGGGTGATGCAACTTGAAATGCTAAGGTTGCCTAAGATTTGGGGTGGGTTTTTTAAAAGTCGGGTGAAACAAGTAAGGCTTTATCCTAAGTTTTACTGGTTGGCCAGCAGACAGGAGGATGAAAGTCTGGAGCGGGAGAAAGGCAAGAGTAACCACATGAGACAATAGCAATGCCCTTGAACCTTCTGCTGGTAACTAATGAAAGACAGGCTGGTTTTCTTTGTTTTTAAACAGTAGTTCTTGAAGAAAATAATTTTCCATTTGTTGCCTTCTGTAATGGGGCAATCTCTTTACCAGAGTACTCTCTGCCGATTTTCTCCAACCTTTCTCTCCCAATTGTATTTAAAAGATAAAGAAATGTTTCTTGTGTTCACACTTCTAATACTTTAGGAAGGTTTCACCAGGGGAAACTTCTAAACCAGTCAATAAATTATGAACTTTCTACTAACATTTTCCGGTCTGTTGATTCCATATCATGCAATTTTAAAAGGCCCTCAAATTCCCTCTTGCAGGAACAGAAAACCCCTTTAAAATGCTCTCTCAATTATTCAAGGGTGGGGGGGGGGAAACAAATATCATCTTGGAAGCTGCTGGCATCTAAAAAATAAATGTTTTAGCATATTGCCTGTTTCTGACACAGCCCTGTGAACAAGTCTATTCTGATTCTGTCCTAAGCGATGCTCTCACATGAAGATCAACCTGGTGTTGCTTCATTCAGTGCCGTTATCTGGTTTTGCCCTGTTCCCATGAAGAGGAAGTTCTGATCAACCTTGCTTTCCAAGTGCAGAACAAAAGAACAGAACGGAACATGATTATTTTCCAGCGGTTTGCTTTCCCTTGGTTTAAGTGTGCCCATGTTACTATGGCAACACTCTTAACAGGGGACGCCACAGCTAGATGTTTTGCTTGTAGTAATTACACACACACAAAGAGAGCATGATTCAGGATTTGGGACTGTCAGACATCGAGGATGGTAAGAAGAGATCTACTGGATCAGAAAAAAGACCCATTCAGTGGCCAGGGAGATGTCTTCAGCAATCCCACAAGCAAAGCAAGCAGGCCCTTCTTAATCCTCTGTTTGCTCCTCAGCACTTGCTATTCAATGGTAGACTGCCTCTCACCCTGAAGGTTTCCCTTAGCTATTCATTGCTGACAGCCCTTGCCAATAACCTATTCCCCATTAATTTACCTAATGCCCTGTTCAAGACATTTAAACCAGTGTTTTCCCCCTACTGTACAGCAGCAAACTTCACAGGTTCATTGCAGAGGCAAAGATAAACCCATCTTAAGCATTGAGTTCAGAAAGGAAAAGCTGAAAGATGATCACGTACTTTCTACAATTCCTACATTATATACAGAAATTGATATCAGGCATAGTAAGGCTGAGAATCCAAGCTTTCACTTTAAAAACAAACAAAACCAAGTTTATTACCTTTATGACAAGATGGAAAGCATGTAGGTAATGTCTGATGAAGTGTCACAGATGAGTGGGGAAAGTTTAGCAAGATTTCTAATGATTAGGAAGCTGGGCCCTAAATAGCTCCTTCTTCCTGCACCTTGCCTGTTAGAGTAATTAAGCAAAATCCGTGGTGGGGAAAGTAATGGTATGTACTCCTCCTTGGGGCTGATAGGGCTGCCACTTCTGAACACCATACAATCCCAACAAGAGATATTTTTTCCTCTGCATTTACTCCCATCCAGTTATTATTATCAGAATTGAATAAATATCTATGATGATCCCTGGACTATCTGCTTTTTGTATCACTACAGCTAATCCGCTTATGTAGTTTACCAAAAGAGAAAGCAGTGATCATTTATTCTCTTTACATAAGCAGAGCTTCGTTCCAAGTGATCCGAGATTATATGTGCACATTTAATCAAGCAACTCTCTTATGGGCTAACATACGTTCCACCAGAGGTAAATCATCACTACACACACACACACACACACACACACCTTTAAAAGACAAAAGTGAGCTAATCTTCCTTTTGATTTTCTATTATATGTGGTATGCTGTGTCTCCATATTTAGGGTACAATTTCTTCAGCTCTAGAGCCAGATGCCATCAATTAAAATTCCAATGAAGGCATTTACCTTGGTGATTTTCAAGGTAGTGACTGTAGGTGATTGTTGCTTGTCTTAAAAGCAGAAAGAAGTTAATCTTGCAGACCTATGTTGAAAACTGCATATTGTATTAATACAGGTTGAGGCAGCAGTGTGACGCAGCAGCAAAAAAAGCTAATGCTATTATAGGCTGCATCAACAGAAGTATAATGGCCAGATCAAGGGAAATAATAGTACTGCTCAATTCTGCCTTGGTCAGACCACACATGGAGTACTGTGTCCAATTGTGGGCACCACAGTGTATGGAGGATATTGACAAGCTGAGATGTGTGCAGAGGGGACTGACCAAGATGATCAAGGTCGGGAACAGTTACGGGAGTTGGAAGCTTACCCTGGATAAGAGGATGTTGCAAGGAGATACAATAGCCATCTTCAAATATCTAAAGAGCTGTCACACGAAAGATGGAGCAAGCTTGGGTTCCCCTGCTCCGGAGGGTAGGATCTGAACCAATGGCTTCAAGTGACAAGAAAGGAGATTCCAACTAAACAGCAGGAAGAACTTTCTGGTGCTAAGAGCTCTTTGACAGTGGAACGGACTTCTTCAAGAGGTGGTGGACTCTCCCTCATTGGAGGCTTTTAAGCAGAGGTTGGATGGCCACCTGTCATGGATGCTTTAGCTGAGATTCCTGCATTGCAGGGGGTTGGGACTACAGGGCCGCTTCCAACTCTGCAATTCTAGCTTCTCTGTTAATAGTAGTTATGAGCATGGATAGCCACTTGAACTATGTGTTGATGACATTAAACTACCTGGGGAATGGGTAGGTGGAGGGTCAGTGGATGCTGGTGGGGAGGAGGCTGGTGTTTTTGAGTTCTGTACATTTTTGTGGTTGTTCTGAAATGCAATAAAATTATATTAAAAATAATAATGAACAAGTTGATGTATTTAAACGCAACCATCTTGTTTTTATTAACATGATACAAAAAGTGATTTAGTATATAAAACCAATATTTTGCGTATAAATTATAAGAACACTCGTTATTTACAATACTACAGCGTTATGACACCTGTAAGATTGTTTTCCTGAGTTAACTGTATAACATATAACTTCATACTATATTGCCGAGACTTTGGAAAGTGGTGAAGTTATAATTTAAAATAAGGTCTCTAGTGCCTACATAGACATAGTAACCAGTGCAAAGGGATGCTACTAAATCGTACTTGATGGAGGACAAAGTTCATATCTGTGCAATACATACACGTGCTAGTTTACTTACCCCTTAAAATATTCTGGTTAAGTTTGATATAGTAACAAAAATAAATACAATTTCAAAACAGCAGAATATAAAAGAACCCACTCTCACCTAAATATGATAAGAGTTCAAGTAATCACATTAAAAAGAACAAGATATTCATGCATAATATTTTCTTGGATTTTTTTAAAAAAACCAATGTTTTTGAAGTGCACAACCTAGGGTCTTAATGCTGCATATTTAAGCTGTAAAACAGTGTATTTCTTTAGAGGAGTACCCAAGATCTTGCAGAAACCTGGAATGAAACAAACACATATATACAAAATAATGTACAGAGGGAAAACAAGAATATTAAAGCAGCAGTACTTTTTTTTGGAAAAATGTAGAGTATTCCTATTATAAAACTGGGATCTATTTGTTGATGCTACAAAACCTATGACCAACTTTTCCCCCTGGCACTGTTGGGCCCGCCCTCACTTAAATATAGTGCACCCACCTCACAGAACACTAGTTCCACGAATTCCTACAAACTACCCCAGATTATCTTGTAGGGTACTTGTGTGAGGGAAAACTTAATAATTTGGAGTCTCAGGCAGGATTTGATCCAATAAACAAGAAAGATTTTATTAAACAAAGGAAGTTTATGACACAAAGTGGGTAAAACATAGGATACTTCAGATTATAATGCTATTTCACTTCAGTTCTTTCTCAGTTGTTGCACAGCTGTTGCTGCTTAATACTTTGGTTCTTAAACAAGGTGGTGCTTCCTGTCAGTTACACCCTCCTTAGACAACCCTACTCCTGAGGTATCCAAGTAACAGACCCAAGGGATCACCACACCCCTCTTAACTGGTTTGGGAGACTTCTCTTTTGGTTGAAGAATCTCTCCCCTCCTGACTGGAATGAGACCTAAGTAGACTGTATCCTCACAGTTTTTACTTCTCCTGGCTCAGCCTCAGCCTCCCAGTTAATTCCTGGTTTACTACTCTTACTGGACACCACACACTGTCCTTCACACTAAGCTCAGAGTCTCCTTTCTCTAGCTTGTGATACATTCCTTAAAGTGGATATTTCTACCCAGAACCAACTCTCTCTCCTCTCACTCCCTACCTCCCACCCTATTCTCCCAACCTACAAACTGTCTCTCAAAATCCTCTCCTTTTCAACTCCCTCTCCGGGAACCCTGGGCCAATCAGAGGCTGCCATTCGTTTACTGTTTGCTGGCAGGGGAAAAGAAAAAGAGAACATTTGGGGACCCAACTTGCCCAGCAAAACAAACTTTTCCATCACACCAACCCACCCTTAAAATTAGCCCACAGAAAAGCAGTATTAAAATTAACAAGTGGTATCCAATTTTAGTCAGGGCAGACCTATTGAAAACAATGGATTACTCTACCCTAGGTGGCTCTCACCAAGCTTCCCACATACAGTGGTACCTCGGGTTACATACACTTCAGGTTACATATGCTTCAGGTTACAGACTCCTCTAACCCAGAAACAGTGCTTCAGGTTAAAAATTTTGCTTCAGGATGAGAACAGAAATCGTGCTCTGGTGGCGCAGTGGCAGCAGGAGGCCCCATTAGCTAAAGTGGTGCTTCAGGTTAAGAACAGTTTCAGGTTAAGAACGATCTCCAGAACGAATTAAGTTCTTAACCCGAGGTACCACTGTACACTTCACTGCAGTGACTGCTTTACTGCTTTATATTTGAACATTTTTAAATAAAATATCAATTATAAAAATTAAGGGCAGGGAGAGCACATGAAGTATACAACATGTAACAGATCAATATTTCCTCCTTTACTTACTGTATTCCTTGCTCCGTGAAAGGTGGTGGACCACAGATACATATGAGCACCTTAGAATCACATTTACTTCTTTTCACAAATTGGGAAAGAAGAGTGGAAGAAATTTTTCCTTCTTTGCCTTTCCAGCCTTTCTTTGGCTCCGAGAGGACAAACTGAACCTCAAATCTGAAAGACAGAATGATTAAGTCACAGAACATGCACAATTTATTCAGCCATAGAACAAACTGGAACAAGCAATAAATAAATAAAATTGGATTTTATTTGTATGTCAACATATCAGGTCTTGTATGGTTTTGCAACACGGAGTTTGATCTAGAGCTAAGGCTAAAATCTGTTCCCTTCTGGTCTTCATTGCATTTGGGAAGTATGAAAATTACAGTGACTTCAGGATTTCTCCTACTCTTGTTTTAACAGTTATGCTTTCTAACTGCCCTCTTTTATTGCATATTCATTAACAATGCTTTAATGTTCTGATCAAATTGTTATTGTGTATTTTAATTGTGTATGTATTTTATCATTGATTTCATAGCCATTTGGAAACCATTTTGGCATAAGTGGCATGCAAGAATGATAACAATGATGATATTGTTCTGGAATTTAGGGGACAAAAATATTATGAACTACAGCAGCAGCAGCTCTGAACAATTAAAGGCATATTGAGATGTTGGGAAATCACCACTATAGGCAGAAACAAGATTTCTATATTTTCCATCAAAATCAATGTGAAAAACAATTTCCCTGTGATTTTTTTCCATTAAAATAATAAAGGAAGCCGCTTCCCCCTGCAGTGTGTAACTAACGCGGCAGATAAACAACTGAATAAAAGCTTTTTACATAGCCCCTTCTGTAACAAAAATAGTGAATGGTTTAGATATCAAGCAGTGATCTGATGTAGGTCCTGCAGAGATGAGGCACTTTGCTTTAAGCAAGATGAATAATTATTCAACACAACCGCACCCACCGCCCAAAGCACTTCATTAATATTTCAAAAAGTAATTTGGATGACTAACAAATGAATGCCTTGTACGCTACACTACTGCAAATTCAAACCAAGCTTAAATGCAAGACAAGGGGTGCAAGCAATGAATGATGTAAACAGGGGAGATGAGTAACAGGAGGTTTGTGAACTTTAGACAATATGATCATCACCACATTAAATTCCTTTCTGTGCACCTATCCCTACATAGGATATATATTGTTCAAAGCTAACCCGTACTGCCCAATAAAGCTGCATTTCTATGTATTTTGTGCTTGCAGGAGTAACATACTTCTCTACATTGCTAGAACTGAGCAGGCACCTACTGCAAGGAGAGTGGGGGGAAGTCTCCATCCTCCTCAAGAACAATAAAGTTACCATCCTTCCCCCAATTACCCAGTTCCAGGGTCTCCCCAGTTACCTTGCATCATTCAGGGCTAGTTGCTCCAGCTGATTTCTCCAAAGTATGTCATCTTCCGTCTTATTGAAGAACATAAATTTCACTGCCCTTAAAAAGAAATTAGGGCTTCAATATTTAAAATCACAGCTGTTAGAAATATTGTACCCATGCAGGAGACACTGAATAATGCAACAAGTATTCCTCAGTAAGAACTCCCAACAGCTTTAAACAATGCCACTTTGTGTAATTTAATAGCAGTGAAAGACTCATGTAAGTTTACTTATGTATAGTGGGGTTGGAAGAGATGATTCTGGCCCCTCTATAGCCCTCATTTGCTTTGCCCTCCTTATCAAACTCACTCCAAGCACGCCATAGTGGTACTAAGACCACTGCTCACCTTTGTATTTACATAACATAACTGCCCTTTGCCTGGATGGGTTAGAACAAGAAATACAACAATCAAATATTATAATCACTTAAAAAGCATCAGTTAACTACATTCTGTGGTCCAGGCATAGTATATACCAGGGGTGTCCAACTGGCCGACCACCATCGACAGGTTGATCCCCGAGTGATATTGGTCGATTGTGGTAGATCGCTTGCTCATTTCTGGCCCCACCCCCTCGGTATGTTGTGCAGGATCGCTAAAACGGAAGATGGAGTTATTGCCGCCCAGCTCTGTTTTTGGTGGACGTACTTTGGCATTTCCGAATTAAGGAGTGCATATTCGGTGCCACCCCTAAAAAAGCTTAAAAACTTTGAGCTGCCCCCCGCCCCCCCCGTCTCTTGGGAGTTGGATGTCCCTGTTATATACAAGAGGTGTGACCAAAAAAAATGCACAATTTTAGTTGGTGTTGTAAAGCAGGCCTACGCTAGGGCTACCTATCATTTTGAGATTGCCCAGTATCTCTTTTTCTCCATTGTCTTAGTGGAGAAATCACTGTAGAAATTGTATTGAAGGGTGATGGAAAAATTGGGACCCCCACTGCCGCTAAAAATACAATTTTATCTCCATAGCTGGGGAATCCCTCGATTATACAGAAACTCCTACATTCTATGAGGGTGCTCTCATTTTCAGTGACATACTGGTAGTCACAGGAAATCCATGGTAGAAATGGAATCAGCTAGACCTCTGGCAGTTTAATTACCATGAAGAAATCAAACTTCATGAACCCTGACCCCACATTAAAACCTGCTTGTAGGAAACTGTGCACATGTGATCTGAGAAACTTTACAACCACAACCAGGGAAGCCACCACTCTTGCCAAGTAACATTAGCAGAAGCCTTACAGTACAATCCTATACATGCCTACTCAAAATTAAGTCTGATTTCAATACGGATTACTCCAGGGACAGTGGGTGTAAAACAGCACCTGCAGATATTGCTAAAACAAGGTAGTAAGAAATACTGCAACACAAACATTATGAGCAATTTGTATTGTTTTGTCAAAACCTTCCTTCACAGCAAGAGACTGTTTTGTTTCTATCATCAAATACCTGTGCAGTGTTTTGAAACAATCTTGCTGCTAAACACATAACCAGAGCAAGAACTACTTAAAATGACTTTTCTTGTCATTTATAATGCTTGCACCTAGTCATAAGCAGAGAAGATACCTGAGGCTGTTGCTACTGGTCAGAGCATAGCTGAGCAGCTTAACCATTGGGGTGAATCCTGTGCCTCCTGCCAATAAAAACAGATCCTCTACATCTTCCATTTGCGATTTCATGAAGTTACCTTCAGGATTACTCACAGAAATATACTCCCCTGTAGAAGAAGAAGAAGAAAAAAAACATACAGTGCAGTGAATCTTGGAGAGAAGGAAATAAGGGCACTCTCAACATCCACCCATTAAAAGAAACCTAAGGGTGCATTAGCTCACATTTTATACAACTATAAAAACAGTGGGCAGGATTCAACTTATGAGTCCTGTCCATGGAAGCCCTACACAAAGACCTCTGTTTGCACAACAGGGTTTGACTCAGGGCAGTTGGGAGAATCTCTGTAACAGCACCTTTGGGGGTAGGAGAGGAAAGAGGGGGTTGTTTTGTTTGGTAAGCCAAAATGCTTTGCCTGATGGAAGGGTTGCCTTAGTGAGGCGTTGAATTCCTTCTAGTATAAAACAATCATTCATCAGGAAAAGATTGAGAAACAAAACACTTAAAAATAAATTATATTTTATTAATTTTTCAAGAAAACAAACTATATTTTTGAAATGAATGGTTTGCAACCAGATTTTTCGATAGACCACCGTACGATGCTTAACAGTTTCCCCCTTTTTTCCATTTTCTATTAAATGTATTTTCATATTGTCAGGGGCTCAGGGACTGAGCCACAGGAGAAGGAGGAGATGGAGAGCGAAGGGGAACAATCGGAGGGGAGCGCAGGAGGGTGTGACAGTGACCAGAGAGATTCCCTGAGTCTCTCCAGCGAATCAGAAGATTCCCAGAAGGAGGCCCCCAGGGTCAGGGCAAGGGGGGCCAGTGGGGAGTCGCCAAGCGGCAGCTGGAAATCAGGGGTAGCTTCCCCACCAGAGCGCAGTGGGGGGGAAGAATCCCACAGATTAGAACAAAAGCTTCCTCCTGCAGGAGGAGGGAGTGAGGCAGGACTGACCACGCCTCCGTCAGAGAGTGGAGGGGGGGAGGAGAGAGCAGGGCCGTCCAGCCTCCCGGAAGGAGAAAGCAGTGGAGGGAGCAGTGTAGCCGTTAGGAGGAAAGTGGGCGGCTGGGCGCGAGCGCCAAGTTCAAATGTAGAGGCGCGAGGGACAGCAGAAAATCCGGATTGGGAGCCAGGTCCCAAAGCCCGCCGGAGACAGGGGGAGGAGTCAGAAGAATCCGCCTCCGAAGAGTCCAGGAGGGTTGGGACCCCAGAGGGCAGGAGGACCCGGAGGCGAAAGGAGCAGAGGGAGGAAAGGAAGAGGTGGAGCAAAGCTCGGGTATTGAACTGGTGTAAAGGAGGGGCGGATTCAGACGGGACTTCGCCGGTCTAAGGACTCAGACGTAGCGCTGCGCGCCACGGATGTCAAACCAACAATGAACCACAATAAAGACCTTTGTTTATAAAGAGCAACTGGCGTTGGTCCTTTGTGAGCTGGGACCTGAGGCAGCCGCTGACACATATCATTAAAAAAAATTAAAATGGAAACTTTCACAAGATTTATAGCAACAAACACTGTTTTAGAATATCCCGAAAGAGCGCGAGAAAAGGAAAGAAAGCAAACACTTACCTATTTGTAGGGCATCAAGTACTGGTGTGAATAGTCCACTTGGGTAAATTTTGATTATGAAAAATATATGCAACTGATCATCATGACAGGGGTTTTTGAATGTAGACACCAAGAAAGATGGCACTGGTGTATATGGCTTCACTATCTCTGTGCCTGAGGAAAAGAAGTAGAAGAAAATTCAACATTTAATATTCACAGAAACAATCCCTTTTAGTAGAGTCAACCATCAATGTCAAATCACATATTCTTACAAATAATGCAATTACTTCCTGCTAAGTGTGGAAGTCATATGGGCCAGAAGCCCTTACCCCTTTTCTAAATAAACTGAATATTCAACATACCTGACCATGTGTGTATAAATGGGCTAAACAAAGAAGTTTTGAATACCATCTGAGTGACTTTTTAAAAAGCAAAAGCAGCTTACTAGTGCTTATGAAAAGAAGTCATGCTGTCAGCTGACTTAATAATTACAAGCTGATGGGCTGAGTTTCAGCACTGATGTATTTTATCCTGGTACTTGTAACAAATGCAGCTTTTAAGGTTGGCTATTATCTTTGTCTAGTTGCTAAAACCTATTTTTTTAGACTGTGAAAAAGCACAACGCTCAACGAAAATAGAATATCACCTTTCTTCCCATTCAGAACTGCTTGTCATTTTCTCCCTGTAGCTTCTCCACTTGCACACTTTAATCCAGCGGGAGCCACTGATAACAGAGTTGGGGGAGCTATTTTTGTTGATTCCTCCTTCCCACAGCAATCCCTCCTGAACACCCCCAATGCATTCTGGAGGTTGGGGGACCCTCTCAAATAGTGTGGTAGGTGGCATGGGGGGATGTCTGTAGGAGAAATAAGGGATTTGCAAAAATGGCTTCTTTCCCTCTTCTGCATAATAAAGCCCTCTATGAGCAGAGGAACACAACTGGGTATTATCCTATTTTATGCAAGATTAACTGGCTGGACATTGCAAATTCTTTCTGGTGAGGTGTAAAGTAGTGGACATCTTCATACACAAAACACTGCGAAAGGAACCTTTATAAAATAGAGTTTTAATTCCACAGTATATGGTTACCTTTCAACAATTGAGACATCTGAGCATTATCTATTTAATTAGGGCGGAACGTGTTTTTCATTTAAGAAGGTAAGTGATAAACTTGTGTGATCATTTGTGTGCCTTTCCTTTTTAAAACAACAACACCACAACAGAATTAGAATATATTCTAGGAAATAACAAAGGATCTTTCATTACATTACCTGTAATAGTTTGTCTGAGGTAAACATGGTGCCCAACAGGGACCAGGAGATGGGTTCCCAGCGGTAATGCTAAACAAAAGAGTTGGGTGTCATGACTGACATTTGTCTTTGACAGCAATCTGCATTTTCTGTAATACAGACCTTAAAAATACAGAAACTGTAATTAATTCAATTCAGGCCACTCAAATGTTCACATTCCATGGATCTAAAGAGATACTTCTGTGTGCATAACTCTTCTTCCATGACTAGAACAAAATCCCCAGATCCTCAAACCAAAGTTATGCAAAATATCTACTCATGCCTTTATCACTTGAAAAGTCAACAACTTATGCTTCAACCATTATTGGTATTAAAATTAGTTATTAATACAGCAACAACAGATTCCTGCTAATATGAAAATTTTAGCTATCATATCTGGTCCCATGTAAAGGTTATGGCATTTTTGAATCATTGCATTTTTGCTTTCCAAATACCGTATTTTTCGCCCTATAAGACACACTTTCCCCCCTCCAAAAATGCAGGGGAAATGTGTGTGCGTCCTATGGGGCGAATGCAGGCTTTCGCTGCAGCCTGGAGAGTGAGGGGGGTCGGTGCGCACCGACCCCTCTCGCTCTCCAGGCTTCAGGAAGCTATCCGCTAGCCGTGGGAGACCCAGCTCTCCCAGGGCTAGCGGAGAGCTTGCCAGCACCCAGAAGCTTGGGGCGCGCTGAGCTCCGCACGCCCCAACCTTCGGGCTTAGCGCAGCGCACCTGAGGGGGAAATACCGTATTTTTCGGACTATTGGACGCACCGGTCCATAGGACGCACCTAGATTTGGGGGGGGGAATAAAGGCAAAAAAATTTTATTCCCCCCGCCAGGCGCGGGGCTGGGGCGGGGAAGCCCGAGCTTCCCCCTCCCCCAGAACGGGACCCAGAGCCATGCGAAGCTGCGCGCAGCTTTGGCATCGCTCTGGGAGCTTGCGGGGGTGGGGGAGGAGGAAGCCTTCCGCCAGCCTCCAAACCATGTCGGGAGACAGCGGGATGGCGCGCTGCGCCTCTCCCGCTGTCCCCCGAGTTTGCGGGGCTGGGCCAGCCTTCTAACCAAGTCGGGGACAGCGGGAAGGGCGCGCTGCGCCCCTGCCGCTGTCTCCCGAGTTTGCGGGGCTGGCGACGGGGAGGAGCAGGCTTCTCCCCCCCGCCAGCCTTCTAGACAAGTCGGGGGACAGCGGCAAAGGCGCGCTGCGCCTCTCCCGCTGTCCCCCGAGTTTGCGGGGCTGGCGACGGGGAGGAGCAGGCTTCTCCCCCCCGCCAGCCTTCTAGCCAAGTCGGGGGACAGCGGGAAGGGCGCGCTGCGCCTCTCCCGCTGTCCCCCGAGCTTGTGGGGCTGGCGGTGGGGCTCTCCTGAAGCCTGGAGGTTGTGGGGCTGGTGGGGGGGGAGAAGCAGGCTTGCTTCTCCAGCCCCCAGCCTCCAGTTCAGGTCGGGGGATAGCGGGATGGCGGAGCCCCGCTATTTCCCGACCTGATCTGGAGGTTGTGGGGCTGGGGGGGGGAGAAGCAGGCTTGCTTCTCCAGCCCCCAGCCTCCAGTTCAGGTCGGGGAATAGCGGGATGGCGGAGCGCCGCCATCCCGCTATTTCCCGACCTGATCTGGAGGTTGTGGGGCTGGGGGGGGGAGAAGCAGGCTTGCTTCTCCAGCCCCCAGCCTCCAGTTCAGGTCGGGGAATAGCGGGATGGCGGAGCGCCGCCATCCCGCTATTCCCCGACCTGATCTGGAGGTTGTGGGGCTGGGGGGGGGGGGAGAAGCAGGCTTGCTTCTCCCACCCCCAGCCTCCAGATCAGGCCGGGGAATAGCGGGATGGCGGAGCGCCGCCATCCCGCTATTCCCCGACCTGATCTGGAGGTTGTGGGGCTGGGGGGGGGGAGAAGCAGGCTTGCTTCTCCCACCCCCAGCCTCCAGATCAGGTCGGGGAATAGCGGGATGGTGGAGCGCTGCCATCCCGCTGTTCCCCGACCTGATCTGGAGGTTGTGGGGATGGTGGGGGGGGGGAGAAGCAGGCTTGCTTCTCCCACCCCCAGCCTCCAGTTCAGGTCGGGGAATAGCGGGATGGCGGAGCGCCGCCATCCCGCTATTTCCCGACCTGATCTGGAGATTGTGGGGCTGGGGGGGGGGGGAGAAGCAGGCTTGCTTCTCCAGCCCCCAGCCTCCATTTCAGGTCGGGGAATAGCGGGATGGCGGAGCGCCGCCATCCCGCTATTCCACGACCTGATCTGGAGGTTGTGGGGCTGGGGGGGGAGAAGCAGGCTTGCTTCTCCCACCCCCAGCCTCCAGATCAGGTCGGGGAATAGCGGGATGGCGGAGCGCTGCCATCCCGCTGTTCCCCGACCTGATCTGGAGGTTGTGGGGATGGTGGGGGGGGAGAAGCAGGCTTGCTTCTCCCACCCCCAGCCTCCAGATCAGGTCGGGGAATAGCGGGATGGCGGCGCTTCGCCATCCCCCTATCCCCCGAGCTTGTGGGGCTGGGGGGGGAGAAGCAGGCTTGCTTCTCCCCCCGCCAGCCTCCAGATCAGGTCGGGGAATAGCGGGGTGGCGGCTCTGCGCCTCCCCGCTGTCCCCAGCTTTTGGGTGCAGGCTGCTGCCCGCAAGCCTTGCGAGCCCGCGGGACATCCCGCCGGGCTTGCAAGACTTGGGATAGCTTCCTGAAGCCTGGAGAGCGAGAGGGGTCGGTGCGCACGGACCCCTCTCGCTCTCCAGGCTTCAGCAAAAGCCTGCATTCGCACCATAGGACGCACACACATTTCTCCTTCATTTTTGGAGGGGAAAAAGTGCGTCCTATAGTGCGAAAAATACGGTAAATTTTTTTTTCCTTTATTTCCCCCCCAAAAAACTAGGTGCATCCTATGGGCCAGTGCATCCTATGGGGCGAAAAATACGGTACATTATATAAGAATCTGAAACATAACTGAGATACTTTGCACTCTGCATAAATTTTTTAGGCAGCTGAGGAGAAGAGGGGATACAGAGAGGTTTATTATCATGGACAGTACATTTTGCAGGTACAATGAAAACACAAAGCCATCATATTATACACAGGTATACACAATGCTTTTGCAAAGACTATAATACATCCTTAAACATAGTCATTCTGACTATGCTGCAGACCTTGAACAGCAATCTGATTTTGTCTCCTGATTTTGGGTGTGCTGAGAATCAGTCATGAGTATGGCAGCAAAACTAATTACCTCTCTCTGTGCGTTTGACAAAGGAGTTATGACTTTCCAATGGCTGTCCAAGTTTTTTCCAAGACAGAATTTCTTTCTTCTTCAGGACAAATTCCACCTTTCCCACTTTTTCAGAGACCTGTACTAAAAATACACAGAGTGTTGTTCTATACTAATACATACATGTCGTTTTGTACAAAAAATGTAATTACAGCGTTCACAACCTGCCTCTGTTCAATTTATTATTAAAGAGAGAGGGAGGGAGTAAAGCCCTTGGGAGACCCACTGAAAGAAATGGTCATTCATTTCAATGAGTCTTCTCCGTGGATGGTAGTTGGATATTCTCCAGACACAATAAAACTGCAGGGCAGCAGCTGAAAGAATGAAACACAGCTACTTTGCTGAAATTAAACAGATTTGGGCTAGTCAGTGCCTGAACTCCTTATGTACCAATATTGCCATGAGCTGCCTGATATAGAGAGGTGGAACAGATATGTAAACAGTAATAGTCAGAATGTGAAAAGCATTTGATTAAATACCACATTTTGCAGTTTTTATCTGAATGAGAGGATAGCAGATGCACGCTCAACAAGAGATTTTTACATATGGCAAGCAAATAAATAAATAAATAAAGGACAAATTATATTCAAAGGACAACAGATCATTGTTACAGGACCCAACATAGAGTAGCCTGAATCAAAAAGAACAGCAATATAAGGAAGCTTTTGGCTGGTTCCTTCTTAACAGCAGCGCTCATGTAGAATGACAGACTGTTTCTAAAGTAAAGTGAATTTCAAAAGTAGTTTGCAATATGGCACAGGGGTCTTTAATGCAGCATTAAAGGGGTTTTTTTAAAAAAAAAATCAACAGAAAACACTTGTATGAGCAGAAAAGCATTTCTTTCAAACTGTTCATTGGTAAAGAAAACTCTCAAGAGACTCAAAAGACATTAAGATACAGTCATTCAAGAATCTTGACAGCTATGAAATGCATTACAATGAATAAGATAACTAACATAAAATGTAAGCTTTGCAAAGAAGCTGATGCAAGATGATACTCTCAGTTCTTAAGTTAACATGCTGCTACAGTAAGCTAAACCAGTTTAACTTCAATGGTGCACCATGTGCATCTAACATTGTTTTCATATAGGCATGCATCAATGTGTGGTGAACCATACACAACACACTAAGATTATAATCCAATCATATGAATTGCTATGCCAACAAATACTTGCTAAGGCTCTGCAGTCTTGATTAGCACAAGAGTTAACATGATGTTAGAACAGGGAAAGTATTTAAGTTTCTCAAACAGTCATCTGGAAGGTACGAGCAACTCTCAACTTACACTTCTGCGGATGGCACTTAAAGTCAAAAATTGCACATAGTCAAAACACACTGGGTTCAACAGCAGGTGGGATTCCAGATGCCCACCCCCTTTTTGCCCCCTTTTAAACTTTTTGGCCATGAGTAAAAAGCTGAATGCGTGTAAGTTAAATGTGTGCAAGCTGCGAGTTACCTGTACTTAATATACAGCACAATAAATACATAGAAATACAAGAAATATGTTACATTTCTTGCATTATGTAAGATTTCGGTGACAGCACTAGTAGTAATATTACTGAAAAAAGTGATCAGATACTGAATATACTAACAAGTCAGAGCAAAAAAAGCACAAATGTTTTGACTGTAAGAGGATGTACTTGCTTACCTATCATATCCTCATGAACTGCATAACTCAGTTCTAAAACAGAAGTATATATTTTGATTTAATAAAAACCAAGTGTCTCTCTACGTCGATTATTATGAGTAGCAATAACCATTAAATGTACAGGTGTCAGGAAAATGCAAAGCTTTAGAGTTTTGCATTTCATCATTTAAATAAAGTTATGAGGTTCTCTACAATGGAAAACCCAAATAATTAGCTATACCACAAAGTTCCATTAAATTAATATATAGGCATTGCTTGACAGTACATATTCAAGTCTTGGAAGTGCATGCTCCCTTCTCCCCTTTTCCTTGCCAGGAGGCAATTCCCTCCCTTTGCACTAAGCATAGTTTGCTTTGAAACCAGAATTGGAAATACGCAACAGCATCTTTTGGTTTGGTGGCAAACAGGAAGTGAGGGAAGAAACTGCAGCACAAAGGGAAGGAGGAATTGCACGTTCAAACTAAAGGCTGTTTTCATGTAGTGCCAAATTATTGCTTGCTGTTATACTTCAATTGAGCCTCATATTGCAACCAATTTACTAATCACATTATAAACCACTGTCTCGGGGTGATTTACACATAAATTAAAAACAGAAAAACAACAGATACATTTAAAAGAAAACTAAAACTTTACAAATGGAGACTCATGATAAAACTAGTCATAAATCAAGGATCCACGTATCTGGTGTGTGCACACAGCTGGAGCTTCATTCTATTAAGAGGAAAGGTCAAAGCTCAATGGTAGAAAGTGTGCATTACATTCACAGTGTCTCCAACATTTCCAGCAGAGGCTGGGGAAAGCTCCTGTTGGAAAGCTTGGAAAGCCTCTATCACTCAGTAGAGATGATCTGATCTAGATGGAGCATCCTGCACTTGCACTCAGTCACTCTGTTTTACAAAGTTCAATACAGTGGTACCTCGGGTTACATACGCTTCAGGTTACAGACTCTGCTAACCCAGAAATAGTGCTTCAGGTTAAGAACTTTGCTTCAGGATGAGAACAGAAATCGTGCTCCAGCGGTGCAGCAGCAGCGGGAAGCCCCATTAGCTAAAGTGGTGCTTCAGGTTAAGAACAGTTTCAGGTTAAGAACGGACCTCCGGAATGAATTAAGTACTTAACCCGAGGTACCACTGTATCTGACAATTTAATGGTGCCCTTTAATGGTGCCCAAAGTCTATCACTTGAATTTTCTCTTCACTTTCCGCTGGAGAGGAAAGATGCTTTTAAAAATGAACACTAGCTACTCTTAAGGAACAGAACAACTGCATGCAGGAATGAAACTCCAACTGAATGCACAAGTCTCTCCCTCAACATATTTCACATCTTTGGAGTCTAGACTCCGGTATACAGATACCAGCCTTTCCCAACCCTGTGCTCTCCAGGCATTGTTGGACTACAACTCCCATCAACCCTGACCTCTGGCTATGCCTACCAAGTACAAAGCATTCATGGGGTACCATGGCTTGAGTACAATACACATTCCACTCTTATCACTGCGGGATTTTAATGCAGCTGAACTGCATTTATGTATGGGTGTATATGTGCATACATTACATGTATATAATTACATGCACACCTCTGCAATAAAGAATTTGCCAGTAAAGTCCTTACCGAGATGTAAAAGATACGAGTAGTCTTTCACAATCAGCTCTCCTCTCAGTTTACGTTCTTGAAGATCAGCTATCACCAACTCACTGTTCATATCCTTACAGAGGAAGGAAAATGAAGGTTTTTCAAAGTGGTTGTTAAAATTGAAGTGTTTTTTATTATAATAGTGCACCATCAACGCGCACAGCACTTTACAAAGTAACAAGAGTTCTCCACAGTGGAGAGTTTTCAATCTGAACCTATCAAGAGGAGCCAAGAAAGAAGACAGGAAGGAGGAGGTGAGGGTAAATGGTTGAAGAAGGCACTTCACTTCCACATACTTAAGCTTGGTTTTGGTACAGAAGGAGGGCAGAGGGAGGAGGAGGAAGAAGAAGAAGAAGAAGAAGAGGAGGAAGAGGAGGAGGAGGAGGAAGAGGAGGAGGAAGAGGAGGAGGAGGAGGAGTTTGGATTTGATATCCCGCTTTATCACTACCTGAAGTAGTCTCAAAGCGGCTAACATTCTCCTTTCCCTTCCTCCCCCACAACAAACACTCTGTGAGGTGAGTGGAGCTGAGAGACTTCAGAGAAGTGTGACTGACCCAAGGTCACCCAGCAGCTGCATGTGGAGGAGTGGGGAAGCGAACCTGGTTCACCAGATTACGAGACTACCGCTCTTAACCACTACACCGCAGTGGCAAGTGAGCCCACAGAAGTGTTCTTGGAGGCAGTTTCAAGCATATGGAGAAGCAAGAAACAACTCTGGACAGCTGTTAATGAGGGAGCTGGAGGAGCGAAGGCCAAGGTGACCTGAGTTCAAATTCCCAGCTAGCCACGAAATGTACAGGGTGGCCTTGATTTAGTCACTATTTTTTAGTCTATCCTACCTCACAGGGTTGTTATGAGGATGAAATGTGGGGGGAGAACAAGTACGTTGCTTTGAGCTCTTTGGGGCAAAGGCTGGATACAAATGGAGCTACTAAATGATATATTGGAAAAACAAGTATACAGTTTTCAAAATTCTTTAATATAAAAAGCAATTCTCTACCTTTTGTTTAGTGTATATGACCACGGTGATGGAACCATCTGTCTGGAACCAATCATAACTGAAATATTAGGGGGGAAACCTATTAATCTTTTTGAAACAATGCATGTATATATCTGCCTCCGTCTTCATTTGTTTGCTGAAGAAATATGCCTAAAAGCACTTGAAAACATTCCACTAACGAAGCTTGTGAGCAAAACTCTGGCAGTCGCACGAAAAGATTGATATTAACTTAGTTTACTTTAATCTGAAAGGCACCATCACATAGAACAAACGTTGAGTTACTTTGTTTTGTTTATAATTTGAAATTACTGTAGTAGAATTTAGCTGCCCATTTCCCACTCCACCAAGTGGTGGAGTGGGAAATGTACCAAGAATCCCAGCCCCCTAGAAATTACTGAATTGTTATTCATGCCATTAAATAGTGTAACAATGGTCACCGTACTGCAGCTATTTCATGGAACTGTGTAGGCGGGTCACCTAAGAGCTGCTAGTTGTTACTGAAGCTTATGTAAAATAGAGCTTTACAAAGATTTTATAAAAATGATAATGGTGTCTTGGAATAGTACCTGGGAACTGCTTCTTTGGAATAATTATCCGGGACTTTCTTTTTAGAAAACAGACCTGCAAAAAAGAAAAAAGAGAGAGAAAGAAATGATATACATATCATTTCCTAAAAAGCAAATGTTATTCATTAGGTAAACAAATTGACTTAGATCCACGGTTCCCATGGGCAGCACTCCACGCCTGGGCTGCTCCTGTGGAGGAATGGCAAAGGATATTTTCACTGACCCCTGCAAAGTTGGAGGAAGTGATGCGGGGGTGGCCTGGGGAGAACAGACAATTGCTTCCCTTCCTCCTTCTACTGTGGCAGCCTTCACTGGATTGGTCCCTTTAGAAACTGGAAGGAGTTTATAGAAGGGATAATCTGCATCCACCCCAAGTATGCAGATATAACCTTAGTTTCATACCATTTTATCGGCATGAGACGTGTATCAGCCCGATCTACCTCTCAGTAGGTTACAATAATATATGAGGAGAAAATGCATGTTGATCTGAACTTCTTGGACAAAGGGCAATATAAAAATATAGCAATAATAACTTGTTCAAATACAGTGGTGCCCCGCAAGATGAATGCCTCGCAAGACGGAAAACCCGCTAGACGAAAGGGTTTTCCGTTTTGGAGGTGCTTCGCAAAACGAATTTCCTATGGGCTTGCTTCGCAAGACGAAAATGTCTTGCGAGTTCCTGCAGGGTTTTTTTCCTTTCCCCCCCTTTTTCCCAAGCCGCTAAGCCGCTTAACAGCTGATCCGCTAAGTCGCTAAACCACTTAACAGCTGATCCGCTAAGCCGCTAAGCCGCTTAACAGCTGATCGCTAAGCCGCTTATCAGCTGATCCGCTAAGTCGCTAAACCACTTAACAGCTGATCCGCTAAGCCGCTAAGCCGCTTAACAGCTGATCGCTAAGCCGCTTATCAGCTGATCCGCTAAGCCGCTTATCAGCTGATCCGCTAAGCCGCTTATCAGCTGATCCGCTAAGCCGCTAAGCCGCTTATCAGCTGATCCGCTAAGCCGCTAAGCCGCTTATCAGCTGATCCGCTAAGCCCGCTAAGCCACTAATAGCGCTAATCCGCTAATGGGCTTGCTTCACAAGACGAAAAAACCGCAAGACGAAGAGACTCGCGGAACGGATTCTTTTCGTCTTGCGAGGCACCACTGTAAAGCAGTGTTTCCCAACCTTGTGCCTCCAGCTGTTTTTGAACTACAACTCCCATCATCCCTGACTAGCAAGACCAGTGGCAAGGGATGATGGGAATTGTAGTCCAAAAACAGCTGGAGGCACAAGGTTGGGAAACACTGCTGTAAAGAACACTGTCTACCTGGGACATATCAGGCACTTGCTGAAATTAGTTCAGAACGTTCAGTTCAGAGTTGATTGTCCTTAGGTACCTGGAAGCACTCAAGTTCAGGACACGTGGTTCATGCCTCCAGAAGTTTAAATTGTCTGAGGCACAGAAACACCCCAATCCAAGAGAATAGATGGAAAAAAGGCAACCACGTATCACTTGTTAAAGAGCAAAGCGTAACAGATGGGATCCTGGTTTTAATGCATTTGTTTTGAGCTCAGATGAGGTTTCTGTCAGGATGCCTAACATGCTAGTGTTATGCAATTTTAAAATGTATAAACAGTTTTAGTAAATACAGCACACACACAACTTGTATCAAAAACACAAAGAAACCAGCTACCATATAAGACTGCGGAAGAGTTGCACAGTTGCTAGCAGCTGCACACACCTTTGAACATAGCCTGACATAAAAGCAACTTTCACAACGTCAAATTCTGCAGAACAGCATTTGGATGTGTTTCCGCTGTTTGCTTCAAATTCATTTGTTTAAGAATATTTATATACTGCTTCATATTTTAAAGTATCTAAAGCAGTATGCAGTGCTGATTATACCACATAATTAGAGCTATTATCCATCTGATCACACAAGGGCCCTGCCTTGAATCTGCTGCATGTGAAAGCAAAACGAATCTAGAAAGCTCTCAACTAAGTACAATTCAGAGTACTGTGAAAACAGCCTTTGAGTCTGTTTTTTGGTGATGTAGGTGGGGGGAAAGTGTCACGCAAAGCACTCAGCTTCACCCCATAGCCAGCAGCTTGTTATTACATGCATCTCATCTCACTTCCAGAATACCTGCTGCCTTTGGGCCTGCCAGTTAGGAGAGCGCTACTTTCCCCTTCATCCACACAAGACACTGCAGCAGAAGACTATGCATAAAACTGGAGTAATCCGTACTTTAATGAAACATAATTTGGAAGTAGGGGGTGGATAACTTTTTCCCCCCAGTCCAATGACTGCAATTCAAAAATGGAAAACCATGAGGGACACATGCCTAACTATGGCCAAAGTGGTCTCTGAATGTGCAACTGCTGTTGCATGCATGCACTTTACTCACCACAAACTCGTTTCAAAACACACACATATAAATTGTTAATCCAGGCATGCATCATCCACAAACTGCAACTTCCCCATCTCCACTTAGCCCAGCATAAAGATGGGAGAGATTTCCAGCTCAGAGAAAGGACTATTTCCATCCAAAGCACAGCAGTCTTCTACTCTTGGTGGAAGCCAGCCTCATGAGGGGAAGTGGGTCACATTTAAAGGCTTGGCAAGTCAGATCCAACTCATAGGTTGTAGGGTTCACCACTCCCAGTGTAAAGGATCAAAATGAATGCTGGATCCACTGCACATAGTTATATGGTGCAAGAGACAGTAATATTCCCAGCCATAAGAGTTTTGCAATGTTATGAGAACCAACAAAAGAACAGAGACAACTAGTAACTCAAATCCAAAGAAAGTCACACAAAGTCCATAGACATAAATTTATGTCAATGTCTTGTTGCTTTTCATGGGTCTTCTCTTGGGAAATCTTTTCCAAAAGGTTGGGAAACTCTCAAAAAGTGTGTGAGTTGGGGAGACGTGAGGCATTTCAGGGAGGAGGGGAAATTGATGAGAATCTGCTAGTGGAAGCTACCACTAGATGGAACATGCTTCTGTGAACAGAATGGACATGTAGGATTTTAGTCAAATACCATTAAAAGGTGAGGATAAAGGATCCAGATAGCCAGATGAAAATCCACACACCCCAATACCACTAGGCATTCTGTCTAAATTCTACCATCTAAATATAGCTTTTGTTATTTGAAAAGATGTCCTTCAGTTGGTAATGGAAATGTCATTCAAGAATGCTGACCTTAAGGTTCCCAGGTGTCTAATACAAGTCTGAACAGAAAATGAGTCAAACAAAGCCAATACCAGAAAGAAAGAAAGAAAGAAAGAAAGAAAGAAAGAAAGAAAGAAAGAAAGAACTGGAATACTGCTGATGATTTCAAACAGTGAAAGTATACCTGTTCCACTATGTGGTAGCAGTTTCTAAACCTTACCAATAACTATAATAAAATATTAAATGGTTAAAACTGGAATATTTTCCATTAACCATCTCTTCAGGATGAGGAAACTCGGTATTATTCAAGACCTATGACCCAAAATAA